TACTGGCAGGACTCTCCGTCATACTGAACTGTCATTGCTGCAAGTCTGTGCACATTAGTAAAGTCTGATTTTTTCGGTGCATAAAAAAAAAATAAAGGTGAATGTAGTTAAGGAAACAAGAGACAAAGCATCCTAACGTATTCTGCTTTCGGGTTTTTCAGTTTGTTACTCATGGTATTCTGAGTTTTTGTAACTGTGTTATCTACACACTCATGCCTGCTGTCTTCAAAGTAAGTGGCAATGTCTATGTGAAACTATTTGAAGTCAAACTTAATTGCACTGTAGCACCTCCACATTTCATTATAATATTGATTGCTAGTTCTGGATGTAGTTCTGTGTATAGGATCAGATTCCATGGATTTTAATATTCCCTGTGCATTTGTTTAGTTTTGCACAGAACTAGTACTGAAGGTTGTTTAAGCAGAACACAACAAATGCATAATTAGCATTTAAGTCCATGGGACTTGCAGACATTTTTTCTGAGAGAAGATTTTGGTGATGTGTTTTTAATTACCATTCCTGACTTTGTTAGTTAACTCAAAGAAACAAATATGAAGCATGTTGCATGGACCTGGGGAAAATTAGGGAAAGAAGAGGAAATGGAATGTGTTTTCTTACCTGTCACATGCATAAAAATCTCCATCACTGCCTTGTTGGCTTCTGCTGTCTTAATAGGTTTGTTAACTGGCTCTGTTTGGAGTTCCCAAACTGTAAGTTAAATCACAAATACTATCTTACAGGTCTTGTACAACAAGCTGATTTATAAACACACAAGAAATTGCTACTTCTACTTACAAGCCTTGTGCTGCCAAATAATTGAAGAATGCACAGAAAAGAAAGGGCTATAATTATGGGGTGAAACAAAGGGGGAGAATAGATTGAATGTATAGAATAAACCCCTTGGTGGTTGATTAACTTGCAGTAGATAGACATCTTTTTGATGGTACTTACATGGTTGCAATGGCTATTACTCTGTCTCCTGAAGGAGCAATCAATCATGAACTATGGGAAAGTAGACGAAATGGCTTAGTTGATCTCTCTTTTGTGGGCTGTGTTGTTCTGTTAAAGAAATTGCTTTCATGATTTAGCTCAGCAAGGAAAATTCAGTATGTTTTTTGGTTGTCCCCTGTGCGGGCTCAAACTCTTCCCTTGAGAACCTGTGCCGTTTGGGTAATTTTTAAAGCGAGGGGAGACCTAGAGCCAGGAATCCTGCAGTCTGTGGTGTTTCCGAAGTATTTTGGAATACTTCTGCTGTCTCCCTTAGCTACCTGTAATTTCCTGGCTGTATCCTAGGGCACTGTGAGAATTCATTGCTGGCTGCAAGGTAACTTGGAAATAGGACCTAAGGGCGGGCAGAGACCTGTGAGTCCTGTAGGCCAGGTGCTCTGCTCTGCCCCTGGGAAGGTCCGTGCTAGCTTGGTTGCTGTTGACAGAGGTTGGGGACTGGCCTGCAAGGCAGTGGTACCAGCAGCTCCTCAGGTATTCAGTCCCCATGCTTTGTGTGCCTGTTCCAAGTACTTCTTCCTACTAACTTGGATCACCTCTGCTAAAATTTAAATCCACTGTTCCTTGTCATAAAGTCCATAGACATGGAGAACAACTTGCTGCAAAGAGAAGATGAATAGTTTTGTTTGCTTAATTTAAACTGTTGGTAAGTCTAATTATTGCCCCCTAAGTTTTCTGTTGCATAAGCTAAACAGATTCAATTTATTCGGTTGTCTTAGTAGGTTTTACTAAGTAGATGTTACCACTAACCACTTGTATTGTTCTCTAAAGAGTCATCGTTGGCCCCCCGTCTTTCTCAAAGTGAAAAAATAGAGGCCTTAATTAAAAAAAGTACATAACCCAATTTGCTACTGAAAATCCCTTTTTTAGAATTTTTACTACAACCTAGCAGTAAGACTGTAAGACCTTAAAAGTAAATATTTGCATATCAATGTAAGACACTACGTTGTTATTTTTAGTTGGTTTGATTATTAGATTCTGATTTAAATAGCTAGATTAAACTTTCCAGTGCTATGTCTAGAACTGTTTTACTGTGAAGATTAAGTGGCGTGAAATGACATTTTATTGCCTTCAGTCATTTGAAGTATCATTTCATATGGAACAATTCTTGTTGCAATGAGGTATGGCAGCCAGAAAGTTCTCTCTGCAACAGGTCAATACTTGTGGCTATTATATTAATTTCTATTGCTGATTAATGAAATAATTCTTATTTTAGTGCTAATTTGACTTGCTTTCAGACTAATGGATTTTAGTCGGTGCCTATATAAATGCCTTTGGCTTCAAAAGAAAGAAAAAAGTGCACTGAACCGTCATAGAAATGATTATGATGTAGTCCAGACAAATGAAATGTGCCTTGTCTGAAACCAATGAAGTGTTGGTTTTACAATAAGTAAATTTGACTGCAAACTGGGCTCAGACCAGAAGAGTGTCTCTATATAACTATATAAGAGTTATCATTTTGTATCTGTGGTAGAGCTACATTAATGTGTAACGTATGTGTGAACTGTGAATATTGACTGAAAAAATAGCTAACTGAAGAACAGCTTATTCAGTTGGTCATATTGTAAGCCAGTGATGTTCTGTTATTGGATATGACTGCAAATATAACAGCCAGAAACCAAGACCTTGTTGCATGTTATTCATAATTTTGACATTATGTGGTTATTAGATTGTACAGGCTATTGGATTTAAAAGGTTGATGCCAAATGGGGTACCCGCAGAAGAAAAAGAGACATTAAATACAGAGACATCTGCTCCCGTTTTCAAATAACACTAGTGAAATGGGGAGCACGTCACACTATTGCAGATGCTTTTTATTATTCAGAAGTAATAATTAAATGCAGTTTTTTCTGTGGTTGGTGATGAAAGAGCGAGAGCAACCTCAGAGGGGGGAAATGTTTCAGATTATGTAGACCACAACTGACTATTCCACAGCAGCACCACAAACCCTACGCTGGCTTGGCTTTTCATATTGTAATGGTATATTCAACCCATGTTTGCAAACCGCATTCCACCAAAGCCTGCCATGTGAATAGCGAGCTGATCAGTAACGTGTGCTGACGGGCATGGGTGGTTTGCAGTTCAGTTAGTGACTGCGCGTGTTATCTGTGACTAGAGGCAAACTATGTAGATGTTAATCTTCTAGTGCTATACAATAATGTTTCAGCCAAAATTATTAAAGGAAGCTATGTTTTAGAAGGTCATCCTTTGAAGTGGGGAGAAGTGCCGTGCAGAGGGACATGGCTGTTTCTCCAAAGCTCATTTTGAGGTAGCCAGACACTTGAATGGGGCTGTATAGGTATGGCAAGCGATTGGTTGTGGTTAGTGCCTTTTTTATCTCCTAATTGAAAAGATAGACATGTGTGCTTGTTGGTCAAAGGTTATCTGGAGTATAAGTAAACGCTTAAAGGATGCTAATTTAGAAGAATTCTGTGCATATTAACAATTGTGAGAATTGGGCATTTGAAGCCTGCTTTCATTATGATAAACCGGTGATTTAACAAGCTGGAGAAGGGAGACAACAACTGTGCATTTAATTCAAAATGGCTCTATTTTCTGTGCGACAAAGTTAAACACTCTGCCCACTGCGAAACGCAAAGAAATCCTGACTACATCTAGCTCCAGAAATGTGTAGAACTTGGGGCACAAGTTCACAGGGAGATGGGTGGTTGTCACTTGTAGGCTGTGCTGATACATTGCCAACATCAAGGTCAGGTTGTTTAAATACTTGACCGCAGCTGGAAGGGTTAACTCTCCTTACAGCAACAGCCTGTGCCGTTCCTAATGACAGCACGGTGGAGGTCAGCAGGGAGCTCAGGAGCCCATCCAGCCCAGCCCCTGCCCGAGCAGGCACCCAGAGCACCTTGACCAGGACCCTGCCCAGGCGACTTCTGGAGATCTCCCAAGAGGAGACCCCGCAGCCTTTGTGGATGACCTCTGGCAGTGCTCGGTCACTGCACAGTGAAGAAGTGCTCCCTGATGTTCTGGTGGAGCCTTCGTGTTCCAGTCTGTGCCCATTGCCTCTTGTCCTGCCACTGGGTACCTCTGAGAAGAGCCTGGCTCCATCCTCGTTTGAGATGTAGCACTTAGTGATATGGTTTAGTGGAGGACTTGGTAGTGTTAGGTCAGAGGTTGGACTAGGTGGTCTTGGAGGTCTCTTCCAACCTACGTGATTGTGTGATTCTCATTTGTAATCCTCCATAGCTGTATCCGGAGGAAAACACCCTCTTTTGGGGACTCTTCTTTGTTTCCCTGTCCATGTGCTGCTGAATGGTGTGCACAGGCTAAATAGCGCTGAATGCCTGAGACCAACAATTTGTCTCGTATTTCTGCTTATTGAGTTTGATAGTGATTTCTGTGAATGTGGGTTTGGGCATGTCATCCTAAGCAGTTCTTTTCCTTGAGGTGTTCTGGGAAGAGCATGAATTAATAATGAGGGTGGAAGGGAAGCGGTGGTATAAGAGTTAACTATTGCAATATTTTTGCCTGGTTGGCAATCAGCCTGTCTTCTTACGTTACTGCTTTCCTAAAAAGTTCCACATTAGAAGGGAGTTCCTGAAATATTTTTGCAGCCTGAGTTTGCCAGTAGCAATTTCCATTGTTCAGCCATCAGAGTGGAAGAGAGCAGTCAGTATTTGTTGACCTAAGCTGTCACCAAAGATGACCTTACCTCCTGATTTTCGCTAATATCGATGCAGTTTTCAGTGCAAAGCTTTGCATTGCACAATGTTTTCCATTGCTGAGGACTAAAGAGAACCTACGCTATCCAGAGAGTCCTAAACCATATCCATTCATCTGAATGGATGGTGGCTGTAGGAGACCTGCTGTACTAGCAGAAGAGGCAGCCACCGTCAGGAAATGAATAAGGCAAGTCACTTCCCATGTAGTTTAGTTCCATTATGTGATGCAGAGTGAAGGGCTTAGAAAAGATATCAGTACTACCTTCATGTTACACTGTCAGTTCTTGTTCCTAAGTCAATCTGTTGTGTCTACAGGTTCCCCAGAGGATAGAAGAGCAAAGCGATGCCTCTGAAGATAGCAGTGCAGGAATCCCAGGCATGTGGGGAAGTTGGGGCCCCTGGTCTGCCTGCTCTAGGAGCTGCAGTGGAGGTGTGATGGAGCAAACACGGCCCTGCCTCCCAGCATACTACCGCGAAAGGGGCTACCGACGGCCAGGGCGGCAGTACCCGGCCTCGGAGAGAACTCTTGCTCATCAGAATCCCCGCCACCGCGAGGACTCACTGAGTGCTTATCCTGGCCACGTCATTTCTGCCATCCGTACGTCTGTGCCGCTTCACAGGAATGAAGAGCAGCAGCTTTGGGCTGGCCTTCGGGCCTCTGTTTCTTCAGGAGGCCACAATACCAGCCACCTGAGCAGGGCAGCTCTGCGAGGCAGCCGGCATTCTCAGTCCCAGAGGCATAACGCCAAGGCAGAAAAGAGGTACGGTGTCTGTGCACACGTTTTATTCTTGCTATGAATGATATATGTAAAGAATGGCACATCACAGTAGAGTCAATATTTTTTAATACCTATGGAAAAGTCATTAAAGATTAAGGCTGACTTTCATAATGTTTGCCATCTTCTGTGAAAAGCAGGAATCAAACCTATGTTAATTACTGATATGATAATACCCCTGGACACATATAATAATTTCACAGTTGTGCTAAGAAGCTTACTTTATTTCTCTTTAAAATTTGGTTTACTGAGATATTTTTCCTTTTCTGTTACTTATTTGATGCTCCCATCACCTTTGTAAAAATAAAAATCTTAAGTAGTAGCTTTATCATTAGATTCTTAACTTCAAGACCCATTCTATTTTTAATTGATTGAAAAAAAATTTTTGTGAAACATTTTGGGAAGAATGGCCACCTGTCTGTTCACTTTTTCTAATCAAAACTGTGTTTTTGTTTTGCTTTTTTTTTCTCAGAAAGTTTCTATTTTGGGCTTTCTGTTTCCCTTTGTTTTCTACCACCTCTTTTAGCAAAATTTCCTGTTTGAAACAAAAATAAAGGGGGGGGGGTGGAGTGGGTTTTAATACGTATAATATTTTAAACAGTCTACCTGTTGCTATCAACTTTTTAGTATTTGCTGTTCAGTCTTTAAGGCTGGATGGAACTGTGCTGTTACAATTGATTTCAACAACCTCTCCTTTCTGGAAAAACGCTTTGTTCTCTTCTTAGATACCAGTCTGCCATTTGTTGCAGCTAAAACTATCAGGTTTTTATATACGTGTATGAAAAGAAAACAGATGTGTTTCCAGTTTGGAAACTGAGGAGAACAGGCATGGAAGATCCCCTGGGAGGGAGTGTTCCTGAAACTTCTGTATTCTGTCTTTCCTCAGATTATGTGTTCCAGCAGGTGGAAGTTCTCTGCTTCTTTCCCTCTCAGCCCTCTTCTGGGAGATGTGTGGAGTGATTTTTATTTGTGTGTGTGTGGTGGTACTTTTTTTTTTAAAAAAAAAAAAGCATACAAAACCTCTTTCTTATCTGCTTCTTTAGGATTCTTAGGTGAAGCAGTCAACCATAATTCCCTCTCCTTTTTCAAGATCTCTTACTGGCCCTAGCCAAAAAAAGCAATGTTACCTTGAGGCAATATTCTAGCCTGACGCAATTAAGACAGCATGACTCTTCATTTTCTGGTGATAAAGACATCCTCGGTCCCTGCAAGAAACTTTCTCTGTCTAAAATAATATTTGAAATTGGAAATTAAACTGTTTTCCTTCTGTTTGTCTCAATGAAACTTAAATTTCAAAGAGTGGGACCAGATGTTCAGATGCTGATCATCCTAGGTGTTGGCCGTTCCCTTTAATCACTGCTCTTTCTTTCAAAGCCATGCAAACGGATAGCCTCGAAGTTCCGAGAATAACTTTAATGTTGCACTGATGATCTTACAAGAACTCCGAGAATGCCAGAGGTAGACTTCTATGAGCAGTGTTAACAAGACCAAATTGAGAGAAAAGTCGTATTTTCTTTCTTCTGTTTTCCTACTTAATCGTTTAGCATAATGCATTTCTGTTCGGAGCTGCACAGCGTAACAGATACAGGTTGTAGTACATAGCTGAGTTATTACTAATGTTGGAAGCTTGGCCTTGAACCATCGGCACAAAGTCATTCAAAGCCTGTTTGCTCCAGCCCCTTGGCACTTTCTGTCTCCAAGGAAATCCCAGCTGGCCTGGCCTCTGCAGCAGACCTACCAGGCTGCGGGCACAGCTGGGCTTCCCTCCCCTTGGGCTCTGCCTTGCTGCTCTGGTGGCCTCTGCAGGTCGGGAGAGACTGGAACAGTTTGAAACAACTGCTGCACTTAAGGCCGGAAAGGGAGAGGACAATGAGCAGAAAATAAATCTGACTGCTTGCAGAGGTGAAGCTATTTCCTAGTAAATGCCTTGCAATATGAAATACTGAAATGACTGTAATGTCTGTTATGGCTCCACTTTCCTGCATGATGGAGGTCTTTGCTTTTGAAGACCGCAGTGCTTTCCTATGCACAATGCAAGCTTCTGTACCACTGCAGATATCCACCCCCGCTGCCCTTACACTGCCCCTTGGCAAAAGACTGTGGATTTAAGGTCGGTGTTTTAATCTTATTTGCGTAATAAGTTATTTCCATCTTGTATTAGGAGGGTCCCTGGTGGTTTTAAAGCCTGCAGTATTGCATAACTTTCAGATTCTTTGGTGGTGACTGTGAAAACAGAATGAGAAGAGAAATGTTACTTGAAAATGAAATTGTAGGAATGACAAACCTAGCAGTTTCCCTTAATTTACAAAGTCCAGAGGACAAACCTTCTTTACAAAGAAGATTGCTAGTCCTGTTGGTGATAAGGAAAATGAATTTCAAAATGTAAGTTACTTTAGATAGGATTTTCTTGCTGTGGAACAGTGTTAAATGTTCACCGAATGGTTGATAATGGAAAATGACATCAGGCTATTAGGAAAAAAAATCTGTTTTCACAGTGTATACAGTCAGGGAAAACTTTCAGGGATATTTCTATTTGCTGTATTGGACTGTATGAAAGCTGTAATTTTAGGAGACTTTCATAAAACAATAAAAGAGGGATGAACGTTTGTGACTGAGATAAGCTCACACTTGACAGCGTGGTAAAATGAAATGGGATGGCTTCCAAGGCAAACACATTTTAACAGCAGTCCTTCAGAGCAGCCAAATATATTTGTATCATTTAGCAACAAGTGGAAAAGTTCTCTGCCTACTTCCAGGCAGCTGACAAAGAACTGTTCAGTTCCTCTAGCAAAGCTCAACATATAATTTATCTATCATAAACTGTAAAGTACCTTGTCTGTGAAGAAGGATATTCACATTTTCAGTTTTTGAATGCTAGTTCATGTGTGTTTAAGTTAGGCTTTAGAAACCACAGCTCCACATGAAGCTTGGATTTGAGGTACCTACAGCCTACCGAGAAGCCTAATGTAAAGTCGTGTGAAGTACATTTAGCCATGTAAAGTTTAAGTGTTTTCCTCTTTATCAATGTGCTGTAAATGGAGTTCTTGCATAACTGAAATGTGCTAGGAAATGATAGTCACTGGAATGAGGATGGAAACACAGAAAGAAGCTGCTGGTTCTCTGGGTTGTCCGCTGGAAAAGGAGAGGAGCTCTTCTCAGCTTTGAAGAGTGGAGTTCCCGTTAGCACAGCCTTGTTTTCTACTACTTCCGGACAAAATGTGTGGAGCATACCGTACAAGGAGAAAAAACAAGAATGAGGAGATGATGTAAAAATATGAAAGTATTTAGGCATCTTTAAAGAGAGGCACATATGGAAAAGTAATAAGGGCATGCCAAAGGATGACAAATGGTTTAAGAGCGAAAATGCATCTTGAAAGGCAATATCATTCGTGGACTAGGTTACAGTACTTATTAAATGTTGCATTTCTAAGTCTCTTTTTTGGTGAGAGAATTGTTGGTTTCTCTTCTCTACATGCACTTGCTGACTGTGCTTGGCTCCACGTTGTTTCAGTGTGGGGCTCACCCATCGCGCATCCATCACACACACAGACCCTCAAAGGGCAGTTTGAATTGTCAGCTACTTTCCAGCATTAAAAATACTTGGATTAGACCATTAAGAGGCAGCTGGACTTGCTTATTTTCCAATTTTCAGCTATCTCAAGCAACTGTTAGGATGCTTTGCAACTGCCACCTTTACTTTCTCTGCAAGTGGATTTTCATGGTGGAGAGGCAAAACCTCTGTGTCCATCTGTAAGTGCTGAGGGTGCTTTGTGCTGGGTTAAACACCAACATATGTGGTTCTTACTGGCAGAAAGAAAAAATAACATTCATATTAGGTTTATCAACAGGATAATGAAATAAATAGGTTTAGATAAATAGCGCATGCTTAAAGAAATATGTTGTTAAGGAAAGGGTTTCCCTAAAGCTCTTTTTGTATTTGGAAATGGATAGAGAGGAAAGCTGTGCACTGAGGATATAATCCAAAAATCATCAAGTCCGCACACGGCCGTAGCTCTGTGGTCTTTGTTCTGCTGCCAGCCGCTGACGTGAAAGTCTGCTGTGCTACCCGGTGCCCTGCGTGTGCTTCGAGGGCTGTGGGCAATGGGAAGGAAGAGTGTCAAAGCAGTTTCCTTATGAAGGAAGCTCCTTTCATGGATGGTTTGACCAGGCAAATGTGGGCCATTTGGTCGGCAGGGCCAAAGTTAACCTCTGAAGGCACAATTCGGTTGTTATTTCCTTACCCAATGTAAGCATCGTTAGCTGCGTGTTCTGGTCTAATTGTTATTCCCTGTTCTAGTCAGCTCCAATTGGTAGAGGTGGACAGAAGTTGACCCTCAGGTTCAAGAAAGTAGTATTTTCTCCAGTTCTCAGGCTTTATATTTATTGGCGTGGGCGTTAGGTCGCTTTCATATTTGGACTAGAAACCCCAGCTCAAGTACTAAGCCATCTCTCCTTTTGTTATTTTCCTAACAGAAAGAAAACGTGATGCACTTCATCCCAAACCCACCACAGTTATAAAAGCTTATTGGGGGTCGATGTGCGTGCAGGAGGAAGGCAGAGAAGGATTTGATCCTGTTCTGAGGAAATATTTTCCAGAAAAATCTAAGAGCAACAGTAGTAATCAAAGAATTCTTTTTGGTGGCACTTGGGGGGATTTAAAGCCATATGAGAAAGATGTTTATTTTCCTTCTGAATAAAATTCCAAACAACTTCTAATAGCAATAAAGAGCTCCCTGTGAGGAATTTCCTGGCAAAACGAACAGCGAACTGAAGCTGTTGTGACCTCAGGTTGACTTTGTGCTGTCCCACCTCTCATCGGGTTATTAATCCCCGCAATAGGCTCTGGGTCTCGCTTATTATTACCTAATTACTATCAGGTTTTTTTATGCTACTGTGAGCATACTTTGAGTGGTATTACCAAAACTGAAAACCTAGCATGATATTATTATTGCAAGCCAGCCCTGACACTTTCTCGCTCCTACTGC